TTTTAAATCGTACACAGGAAAGATTTCCTCACTAACACTGGTTCTAAACGCGGCCGAAACCACAAATATTGAATTGATGCTACAAAAAAAAAAAACAACTGCATTGGGATGGCTATGTGACTAGGATAGACATTACGATCGTTTTCGAAAGACGATCCTAAAAATGATCTTGGTTCAACAGAGAACTTCCGCTGCCAAAATAAGAAGTTAAAAAAAAAAAAGAGTAAAAGAAGAGTTCTCTATAAATCTTGGGCTTTCGTCGGTTGCCAAACCTTTTACAGCCGTTGTGGTAAAGCAAGTTTCTCTCTTGTAAGCTTCACAAACCATTTGAGAACCTGCAACACATGGAAAAACCTCTACAAATCTTCGTTCACGTAGCCAAAGTGTAAGGATAAGTTTTTACATCTGCACAACTACATTCCATTTCGCGATTGGTTTCAATAAATGTCGGATGAAACTGCTTGAAAGAGCTGAGGAAAAATTAAAAATAACCATATGTTAATTAAGTAAATTCACTTTTTCGCTAAAAAAAAAAGGCATAGCATGATGAAAAGTCCCCCAAATTAATATAAACAATTTTTATCGTCAAAATATTTGTTATTATTAAGAAGAAAGACCAAAGTATGTTTTATTTTTTTATCAAATTACTTTCTAACACGTCGAAATTTGGGTTAAAAAAAAAAAAAAAGTTTTTTGTTTTTTGTGTGTATGTGTCAACGGTGTAACAGAGCTGGTAATGGACATTTTCATGCCTATTTTCCGATAAAATAACACATTAATTGGAAAGTCTTTCAAAAATCAAATAATTGTCGGATTTTAATGAAACTTTCAGGACTTTTTTTTTTTTTTTTTTTACAAAATCTTGGTAAAAGTATTTCTTTTACATCTGTTAACTCCCACTTAATTTCATGAAATTTTCAAGAATTTAAAATCGTCAACAAAATGTTTGTATTAGTTAAAAGCAGGATTCATTGGAGAATATAAATCAATATTTTTTTTTTCAAACTCATACCAAATCCCCTAAAATAAAACTTATCTAATTATTCAATTAGATAAGTTTTTAATTGCTTTTATAAATAATATATATTAAGGACATTATAATCTGAAAAAAAAATTGTTTATGCATAATGAATTTTTACAAGAATTGTTTGCATTTTTCTTTTTAATTTATAAAGATTAAAAAATGTTTTCAAATTCTTCCAAACATCGCAAAAGTTAAGTTATTAAGTGAAAATTATATTTACTAAGTGAAAATTTAAAAGCTTAATACAAACCATCACGCAAACATTTTTAAATTAAAAACACTTTTTCTGCATCTAAATGTTTTTTTTATAAGTATGGTGTTTCGCACGTGACATTATCGTTAAAAGGTTACATATTTGAAGGGTTTTTCCAATTACGGATAAACATTTTCGGCCGAAGATGGTCGAAGAGAAAAACGTCCCTTTTCAGTGCTACAAAATGTTCCCCAAATTCTTCTTATAACCCTTATGCATGTTAACATTTTTTTTTTTTCATATAATATTGTTTGAGGAATTGGATTATGCTTAAATAACATAAGTGTACAATTACCTAAGAAATAATAAAATTTAAGTTCTTTAAAAATTTAATAAATAAAATAACTTTGACATTTCATAAGCATCAGGATATAATAATTAATAATAAAGAATGAAAAAATATAAATTAATAATAAATACCATTAAATTTCAAATTATTGAATTACCTCTATCATTGCATTTTATTATTATATTTTAGTTATTTGATTAAAAATGTAATAACTGAGATAATTAATAAAATACCATTAGAGAAGAAACTCAATAATTCATGAATTGTTAATTTAAGAAATTTTTATAGGATTTTAAATTTTATATTTTCAGAATACATCTTCAAACGTAAGGTTAAGTACCTAAAAAAAAAAAAAAAAAAAAAAAAAAAATCGGAATATTAGATAATTGCTTAAAATATTTTGTTAATTTTTTTTAATATCTGGTAGTTAACAAAAACAAAGCGTTTTTACTTAGAATTCGAAAATTTGTGTCAATTCTGGTCCACCATACCTAGGGTCGTCAATATATCGATGGAGACGTGAGAATAACAAGATCCTGTGGTTAAGAAATTCTTGTATACAACATTTTATGCTATAAGTAAGTAATAATTGTTTCAGAACAGATTACTTTAACTTTAAATTTGCTAATTTTCCGCAAATAACGTTTCAGAAATATACATTTTTGCAAGCTTTTTAAATCTGAGAATTAACTTTTGTTTACAAATATTTCAAAATGGCCGTTTCGTTTTTTTTTTCCTTTTTCGTTTTCGTTTTCGTTTTCGAAAAAATTAATAGTCTAAAGATTATTCTAATTTCTATTTGAAATACACTACAGTATTTTGCTCTCTGGAATTAAAAAATTTAATCCTTTTAGCTTTCAATGAAAACTTTAAGAAAGATTTTTCATTTATGAAAAATCATTAAAACCTTAGGTATATCGAATTATTGGGGGTGCCTAATGATTAAGTTAGTTTAAAATTTAATCTATAATTTAAAATTATTGGCTCGACCAAGACGGGATTAAAAACTCAGATTGTTAATTTAGTCAGCTGTGGTTTTGGTAATTGAAAATTTTGAATGGGAGAAAATGTCTTTTGGATACAACAGCAACGACCATCCTTTCGTCTGCCCATACATTTTCAACAGTGTGCTAAATATGCGTGATTATTTTTATTATATATATAACAAATCAGTTCTAATTTCAGCTGACACTTCTATTACTCCCCCCCCACCTTTCTTCTTTACATTTATTCAGAATGACGTTAGTTTTGCACCACTGAAGCGAGAATGAGTTTTTAACCAAACAAAAATATAAGGAAATTACAAATTACGAGAATAGATAAGTCGTTAGTCCGGTTGTTGGTAATTTATAATGTCTTAGTTGAGACCTCTTCTAATAAAAAGGTTCAGACTAATGGCGTAATCAAAATGGCGTCATTCTGAATAAATGTAAAGAGCAAAGGGGGGATAATTCTGTAGAACTGGCAATGACTGTCAGAAAGAGAATATTTTGATACCTCATTGGAAGGAGGGAACTTTTTGTTTATTCAGCACTTATCCACGCCCTCTTCGTTTATTAATTTCGCACTTCTTCCCACAGCTCAAACATGAATCAGTAAATTCATATTCTTCGGTCAAGTTTTTACTTGATTGCATTGTTTGAAAAAATAGTGTTTCGTGTTTCATTGTTCGTTATTATTCTTTTATAAAATTTACTATGTTCCATTCTCAGATGTTTAAAAAAAAAAAGCCTATTTACTTGTAATGTTTTGATCTTTTAAATTATTTTCCAATTCTCTTTGATTTTAGAACCCCGTTGTTTATTGCACCTTCAGAAAAATTCCGAATCTCCAATTATAAAGACCCTCCCTCATCCCGTATTAGGCCCATAAAAAATATCCAAGAAAATCTGTACGTCCGTTCGAGTTAAATCGTCAATGTACATATTACACACTCGCTGATTGGACGGTCGTCTCTGCTGTTGATCGTTTTCGTTTCTACTCGTCCCTGTCCAAGTTTTACTAAAACCGTAGTATTCTTGGCGTCGATTTCTTTTTATCATCATCGCATGTCGACATCAGAAAACTAGGAGGTGACCAGACTCAACGGGTTTTTTGCCCAGCCGTCGTTGTGCTTCTGCGGAGATCAATATCCGTGGTAACTTCTTTGCTGAAAATTTATTTCAATGTACAAACAAACAAACAAACCCTGTTGATATCTAACAATGAGCTTAATGATAAATTGAAGGAGTTAAACGTATATAAGGAGCATAGAATTATTCATCTTTCTATGTAGCCGGATGGACGGTCTTTCAACAGGAAAATTATTCCAGCAGTAATTCTTAATAAATGGAGAGACTTCGGTGCAGCCCGGGGAGTAGGTATTTAAACCATGCTTGGTCTATCTTATCACCTGCTTTTCCTCTCTGTGTGTATCGACTTTTCTATAAATATTGACTGGTTTATATGAGAATTTCTCAAACCTCTGGCACTGATTTATTGAATATTCTTCAATAAGATATCATGACCTTTCTTTGTTAGAAAACTAGGTGGCCCCTTGTGGAATGCTTCATTTCAAAAAAGCCCCTAACATTGCACTTGGTAAACTAAATGTTTGTTTGATTGGTAGTATTTTAGTCAGTTATAGTTACTAATTAAATACTTCATTAAAAAAAACTTAGACAATGCTTCTTCAATCAGCAGCAACTGTAAACAATGTGAAGAATATGGAAAGGAAAAGAATTTGGTTGTATGAGGAGATCTATCTGCCACTTGATGGTTGGTCTCCGTGACCATGTGAAACTGGCTACTAAAGCATAAAAAAGCGTGTTCAAATCTCATCGCAGGCTATTTTATTTCTTTATTCTATGTTATTTACTTAACAGTCGAAGGTGCAATAAAAAGATGAAAGACAAAATGAATGATCATATCTCCGGCCTAAAACATTTATTTCTCTTTAAATTGGAAACCTTTCACAAAGTATAAAACAGTGCTGCAAGTAGGAGCGTGTTTTTTCAGTCGATTTCTATGTCTATACATGATAAATAAGTTTCTCTCTCTCTCTCTCTCTCTCTCTATATATATATATATATATATATATATATATATATATATATATATATATGCTGCCGAAATATACGCCTATGTGTGTGTGTATTCACCTAAATAAAAGGTCTGTGGGTTGGGGTGATCGCGTATTTCCGACTGAAGTCACAGCTCAGATAAAATAGAGATTATCAAAATACTGATTTTTTTTTTTTTTTTTTTTTTTTTTCTTGTCTTTACCACTCGAGGCACCCCCCCCCGCAAGTCTGGGGCAACGATCTTCCAGTCAGGATTTCCCCACCCCAGTCCAGTTAACTGTTTCGTTGTTTTCTTTTCTCCATACTACATTCAATATATAAAACGCGTTACTTTTTCTTTTTTTTTTTTATTTTTGACACGTTTTCTTGCAGAGATGCCCTGATAATTAGTTTAATGGATTTGTTGACGAGTGTCATCGCCGGTTTTGTCATCTTTACAATCCTCGGTCATCTTTCATTCAAGACACAAATCGATATTTCAAAGATTGCTCAAAAAGGTAAGTAAATATGACTATTGTTTGATAATTTGCTAAAATAACAATAACATACACAAATATGACTAGCACATACACTGAGAACGAATTCCTACTAACGTTGTTTCTATTCATTTTGCATAGTCATGAAAAAGGCATGAATCGAGTTCTCCCTGTGACTGCAAGATATTCTGTAAAATATCTTTTCAATTGCATATTAATTGACAAAACTAAAAAACCACTGTCCCATAACTATGTTAATTGCTTAGGTAGTAGTATTAGTAATAGAAGTTCTAGTTTGATAGGATTCAGTCAGTACAAATGATTTAAATGGTCAAAGAGCTGGAAACTTCTTCCTCACTCCATTTCCCACAAATCAGTATTTGCAATTGATTTTGAGAAGCAGTCAGGTTGAGAACTCTTTCGTGTCTCCTCTTATTTATCAGGGTTCAATTTAATAAGGATTGGACCAAAATGGGACCTGCAAATTGGACACAGCCGAAGAATTGTGTCTATTACATAATCTATAAAAACCGAAGAAGAGAACAATATCTCGAAGAAATCCAACTATATTCCCTTATCAAAAATGTGCATTCTCAGCCCGCACTTTCATATCAAATCTCATCGTCTAAGGCCACAGCTATTTTGTTAGGAAATCAAATAGAAATCTTTCTTGTTCAACTTCATTACATAAAGCAACAATTAAAGAAATCGTTCGTAAGCAGGAAAAGAAAAGTTAAATGAAAACTTAATAAATTGACGCATAACAAAATTGACTTAAATTCACATTACGAAAAAAATTAAATTCCCATGATAGACAAATAAGATAAAGTAGTCACATCTTCCCGACTCTGAGTTTCGCAGAACTTATATCCGCTTGTCAGGAGGTTAGATAATAAATTGTAGTTGTACAATTTAGTATGAACGTCTTCTACTTGTTTACTATTAATGATCTTTTTTTTTTTTTTTTTTTTTTTTTTTAAATATTGAGCACTTATAAAACTGCTTAAAAGTGTTAGCCTCCAGAAAACACGTAGATCGACTTTTTTGGGGGTTTTGTTTCTTCTCGAAATACATTCATTGTTATTATCGATCATAATAATATACAGTTTATTTGATAATTACAATGAAAACGTCACAAGAAATCTTGAAATGGTAAACAAATACAGTCGACTGATTAGCTTCATCATTATCATAATTTGCAAATGTCTGACAAACGGCATTAATAATGACATCACGTTTGTCAATTTGTTTCTGCTTCTCTATTTCACTTATTTCTCTTCTGCAGCATTAATTCGGATTTGTTCAACAGAATACAAAGCAAATATGTCTCACTTCGAGATTATCGAAAGGACATTTTAACGGGTAATAGCAATGCCTTTTCCTTATAAGGAAACATTCGGCATTTACTGACCGAACAGCCAGTGAAACTTTCGGTTGAAATTTATAAAATCTTTCTCTTAAAAAGATTTTTCAAAAAAATAGGTTTCCAAAGTTCACTAGCTGTTATCGCTCTTTCCAGTATTGATGGCGGTTTCCTTCCTAACCTTTTATTTCATGTGTGTGGAATGTTAACATCTTGATTGTCATTATTTTCTCTTTGAGTTATATGTGCTATCTATTTTAGTTGTTGCTGCGACGTGGTTCCTGTTATTTGGTACAGTTCTTTATTTGTGATTATGTAGCGCCAGTCCATGACGTTTGAAGAAGTATAGTCAATTGTTAGTTTAGAATCGAACTTCACGCGTATTGATCACTTGTTTAAAAGGTTGTTAGTAAGTAAAAAATTAGAAAAGTGCTTGTCGGTTTTTCTTTTCCCTGGAAATGGCAACAATGTTTTCTTTTTCAGGCTACGGTCTCGCTTTTGTTGCTTACCCTGAAGCCTTGGCGACCTTACCTGTACCGCAGTTGTGGTCAGTACTCTTCTTCTTCATGTTGTTTACACTTGGATTGGACAGTGAGGTAAGTAAGAACCTCCCCGCCCCGCTACACAGTTACCCCCTCACACACAGAAACACACACACACACACACACACACACACACACACAATTGCTCGTTTCTTTTCCGCTTTAAGTAGCACGCAATGATTTTTTTGGTACTTCAGAAAACTCTGTTTGAAATTTGGCGCCGGTATTTTAATGTGTGTGTGTGTGGAGTGGGTACTCAGGTTACGGTTGTCGGCGCGGGAAGTGGACTCGAGGAGAGTAGTTCAAATGCCAATCTAATTTGTTGCATTTACTTTTGTACTCCGCCCTCAGCAATGGTATAAATACATATTTTTGCTTTCACCCCCACCAGCTATGAGTTACATAGCCGGGTAGAGTAGGCGGCTTTCTTAGAAAGACTTCAAAACCGTGGAGATAAGAAACGAAAAACCACTCCACTCCATTTCCCCTAAGAAGTCATGGCAACTCATGCATATTAAAATAAACAGAAGCTGCGAAGAGCCGTGATCGCCTACGTCCGGAAGAGCCATAGCTGTGTGTGTATATATATATATATATATATATATATATATATATATATATATATATATATATATATAATCAGTGTATATGTATGAGAGAGAGAAAGACAAAAACCCAACCAATAGTTGTTAACAGTGATGTCATCGATATATTTCTGCTAGTAATTTATAATTTTATGAAAACAATTCTAAAATTCCTATCGCGTTTCGTTTCTCTTCAGTTCTTTTCAATTTTTTTCCCAGTTTGCTCTTTTGGAGACAATGCTGACTTGTTTACAAGACGAATATCCGAAACTCCGAAAATACAAAGGTTTACTGTGTGTCGTTTCTGGTATCATCTGCTTCTTTTTGGCGTTACCGTGCATATGCCCTGTGAGTAAATATTTTAAAATTCCATTTCACTTTCTGTCCTTGTCAAAATGCCAACATTTATATAACTGATACCCCGTTTGAATGAATGTAATAATCTTCTATTCGAGTTTTTAATTAATACAACTTTATTAATGACTAGCAGTAGAGCCCGGCGTTGCCCGGGGATGTAACAGTAAGAGATAGATCAAGTATCGACCATCATAAAGACTGAAAAATAAAATTGACAAAGATTATTGTTTAAGGTTGACGGACACGCATGTCTTAATTAGTTTTATTTTTTATTTTTATTTATTTATTTTTTTTTTTTTTTTTTTTTTTTTACGAATTGGTCAAACTCAATCAATAACATTGTTTTCAATCGTTATGAGTCTACTGATTGAATAGAATTTTATTATAAACAATGGAATTTTTAAAGCATTCTGAATGTAAAAATAAACAAAAAAAGTGTGCAAGACAATAAGAAACACTACCTGCCAAAAAAGTGAAGTTTTGTTGAAATCGGTTGAAAAATGTAGGAAATTTGATCCCATATATAAATGAACACACACACACACACAACCAACCTGGGTTTTATAAGTGTAATTTGATAACTTGATATTAATAAGTATAACTCGATTGTCCCCCTTTCATTAATGCCTCTTAATCGTGTTTTCAAATTGATTTCATGCAAAAACAATTGTTTTTCCAATTTTTGGCGCTGTCAGAACCACTGCAAGGTAATTTTACATAGTCCTGTGAAGTTTTGTTGAAATCGGTTGAAAAATGTAGGAAATCCAATCCAATATATAAACGTACAGACACACGCACATACACACACACACACACACACACACACACAATCTGCGTTTTATAATAAGTAAGATTTCATAAAATAAAACCACAAATTCATTATTTGTAGACGGAAAGTTTGTCAATGACGACGAAGTGTCTACTTATCCGTGTGATTGGTAATTGACATCGAAATTGCTCTTTGGATTTTTCTATCATAACGCCGCTGAAATCAATGTTCATTTTAGATTGTAAGATGGCAATTTTCAGGATCTTTGGGTTGAATGTTTTTAATTTGTTTCATATTGAATCATTTCAACACAAAAATTAATGAGTATAGGTCAAAGAATTGCTGAGACAAGAGCTCGTTAGATTTATAATTCATTGTTGGCTATAGAGAAAGCCTCGGCCAGTGTAAAAGAAAGTCTACCATTCGTCTATACTTCGAATATTGCTGTCACATATGGTCCGGTGCTCCTGCTATTTACCTTTTTTTTTTTTTTTTTTTTTTTTTGAACAAAAAAAAAAAACTCAGAGCGGTTGACGGATCTTTCTCAGAAACAGAAAATTCTTTTTCTCTAGCCAATCACTTCAATATACATTCTAGATTAGCCCTTTTCACGCGACACACTCGTGCCACATCCACCCACCTTTCTCTACAGTCCATCCAGTTTCTCTACAGACGTGGCAATCATAGGAATAAAAGAAAAGGATTCACTCTTTCTCTTTCGGAATGTAGTAGCGACAACAGAACGCTTAGCGCCTGGGGAGACTTCTTAAATTTAACCTAACCACCTCTCTCTCTCTCACACACACACACACACACACACACACACATATATATATATATATATATATATATATATATATATATATATATAAATTTAAATTTAAGTTAATGCTTAAAGTTGTCGCATAGATGATGGGAGAAAGAAACAAATTAGTGTGGATTCCCTTCGCTCTCATCACCCACATTACTGTTTGGGTCATGCCAAGTAAACACAGGAAAAAGAATTTTTCTTATCAAGCAGCAGTTCCACGTTTTTACAAACATATCTGGCTTCTAAGACAAAAAAAATCACTGAAGCATGCAAACCCTGTAGCATTTAACAAACCTACACAGCCGTCACATGATCGTGAAAAGAATGTATGCTACTGCCCTCGAGAAGAGTGACACATTACGCCATCTCGAGCTAACGTTCTCTGCTGACATGAAATGGAAAGACTATATTGAAGACTATATTGAATCTATTGCTAGGTCATCTGTAAAGAATGTTGGTTCACTGTGTCTTACGAGACAATTTTTCTCTCCAGACTTTATCCTACATATCTATAAGTCCACCATTCGTCCCTGCTTACAATATTGCTGCCACACATGGTTATATGTCGATGAAAGAAAACATTGAAAATAAAAAAGGAAAGTTGTTTTATTTTTGCAGGACAATACAGTTTACAGGACGATGGATGTATTGAAAGATTTAAGCTTTTAATGCATAAACCTTATTCACCAAGTCTTGTCTCATTGTTTTCTGGTTTTCAAAGTTAGCAGTACAGTATTTAAATGGCCAAACTTCGGTATAATGTCTTTAAAATCTTTTCGAGATCAAGAAACTGAGTTAGCTTTACTTCGTGATGATGTGTAACAGCGTTTATTTCGGGACTGTCGATCATTTCCGTCTTGGTAAGGCTGAGAACCTTTCAACATCACTTCGTATAGTACTGACAGCTCGGTCAATGAATGCCGAACATTCCTATATAAGAAACTGGCTAACATTACTATTAGCAATGAATCTAGTTATTTAATTTAAATTAAAAAAATTTAGCTTTAATGTTTCATTTTCACTAACGCATCTTGTGTAGTTTTGTCTCCCGCTGTATAAAAGGATTGCTAATCAAAATCAAGTTTATTTAAAAAGTTATTGAAAATATCCAATTTTTATGGGAAAATATTGATCGATGTTTTACAACTGACTTAAAGGCGTTGGTTGTATAAATCTCTTCTACGACTGTTTCAAATTGATTCAAATTGTTGATAACATCAAATAGGAATGACTAGAAATACTTCAACAATCGATATTTTCCCGTAACGATTTAACATGATTAATGATCTTTAAGTAAACTTCATTTTTTAAAAACCTTTTTACAATTACTATTTAACCATCTTGATCTCTTTTAAGGGTGGAGATTATGTGGTAATTCTTATGGATTACTACGGTGCGGATTTTGCTGTCCTGTGCGTGGCATCTTGTGAATCAATCGCGGTTATGTGGGTTTATGGTAAGTCGAATCATATTGTAATGCAAAAAATAAATCCTTATTTAAAATATTGAGTGACCTTCTTGAAAGGGAATAACAATAAGAAAAAGTTCTTTACTTAAAATTAGTAAATTTTATGCGTAGATTAGAACGCTGATAACAATGCTGCTTTCGCATTGAAAGTATCTTATTGAAATTCTTTTCATACAGTATCACTCCTTCGAATCATGAAATGTTGGCTTTAATTTTGTCTTTCTGGGATTTTTATTTGAAATTCAATCTTTCAGGCGATTTTGTTTAATTAAGATCGACGTGGTTTTAATCTCTTAAACAGAAAAATGAATAGAAATTGATTCTATAAATATCATTTTCATACCGGACACATCAAGAAAATTAGGGAACATCACAACAAAATTAATCTTACAAAGATTTTGTATGTGTGCAAAGAAAAGTTTATGAGAATTGAACTCAAGATGTATTATTAGATTCACTCGATAACTGCTACACTACAACACTGAGATGGTCACCTTTAAACTCTTAGGAAATTTGTGAACTTATCCAAATTTTTTTAAATTCTCTCATGAAAACATACAATAAATTTCTGCTTGTAAACTATAAACATCCCAAAAAGTTTGATGTTCAACTCAACTGTTCGTTTCTTTTTCTTATAAAAAATAATAACTAATGATTGAATCCAGCCGTGAATAACGTAAAACGATCGGTAGTTTATTTATTTTATTGTGGGGGCGAAAATTAACTTGTGTAAAGAAATGACGTCAATCGCAAAAGTAAAACTTTTTGTTATGATCGCAATTGATTGCAACAAGAACTATCAAGTATAGTTAAGAATTTTCGATAATTATTTCTTTTGAATCAAATCCAGATAAATATTTCTTAATGAAATTTGTGAAGATGTTAATAAACTGTTACGATTTTGGCGTCTTTCCAGGTTTTAGACGTTTTCTCAAGGATGTCGAATATATGATTGGCTTTAAACCAAATCCAAGCGTTTTCTGGAGTTTCTGTTGGGTTATTTGCAGTCCCATTCTCATTACAGTAAGTAACGGAACTGGAGGTTATTGATTGGTTTTGTTTTTTGATCCAGTTTCTTTTTTTTTTTTCTATGTAACAATTCCGAAGACGTTTGTATTTGTATTTTTTTAAGATGCTGAAATTAGTACCGAAAGATGCTAATAATAATAATTTTTTTAAAAGTATCGACCACCTTTCAATTTTTTTCTTTCTCGCTATCAAAATTGGTTTTTCTATTCAGATTCTGTTGTGAAAAGATGTTAGAAAAGTAGACGCGTTTCGCTTATAAACCTGAAATAGTATTTAATTCTACTTATACTATTCCCCATTTTACTATAATTATTTTTATTATGAATTTCCAAGTGATAGCATATATGAAACTGCTATTTCATTAAGTACTTATTATTAAAACGTTTACATATGTGATTATTTAAATATATTTTTCAAATTATAGTAATATGCATAATTCTACAGGAGATCAGTTCGTTATTAAATAACAATTTAAATTTAAAAGCGCTTGTCAAGTTGAATCTTACATTCGTACGAAATGAGGCTTGCTCCGGCAATTAGTTGGAGATTCGTCTCCTGCTAAGCTAATCAAACTCTCTGCCTTTTGGCGGAGAGTAACCCAGACGAGGCTATGCCAAAGGACAGTCTAGTCTGGGGTGGTAGACAGTTACCCGACCCCTTTTTTTTTTTTTTTTTTTTTTTACGGGGTCTACGGGGAATTTTTGCCCGAGCCTACTGCTCGGTTTTACCCCGCATTAAATGACGGCTTTGTGCCGCATTCAAACCTCGCGCGGGGCGGGGGTGAGGTAAATAACCTTATATTCATACGAATTGTGCTAATACCCTAAAAAATGGCAGCCTATTTTAAGTATTTACTATTATTAAAATGGCTTTCATATGAGAATTTCATTACATTTTTAAAATTATGGTGTACTCAGCTCCTTCATGAAATCTGACTTTCTACCTCCAAGCTTCGTGAGCATTTTGGTACAGTCGCCATTGTCATAACAGCAACAACACTGTCACGTTGAGTCGCCAGTTTAAGGGCGATAAATTTCAACAGTAAAAAGTTAAGTGTTACAAACAAATATCTACCCGTGGTATATTATATACAGAGAATATTTTTTCATTATTGTTCGGTATCTGAACTCTTCGCAAAATATAGTTTTACCGTTTAGCCAACAAAGTTTCAGAATGGCGCCAAGGTCCATTTGAAGCTAAGAAACCGCAAACAGTAGGCAAAGAAATAGCATAAATCTAATGAAGAAATTTTGGAAAATAATCAGTAGTCTTATGGTGATTTTCTAAAGCATAGCTTAGATGTGGCACAAGAACGAAATTATAGAGCAATCAGTAAAGATCGAACCCACTACTCATTCGTAATTGTTCTAGTGAGATAAGCTTGCTAACCATTACACCACGTCGATTCATCCGTAATCGCTAATCTTATGTTCAAGAATAAAGGTTTTCTTTCAATTAAAACTTGAAAGCTGATGGGAACTATTTAAGTTGAATGGTCCCGCTCGTAAAAATGAAATCGTGGTAGGGCAGAATTTTGGAAAGAATCATTTGTTGTAGATTAGCATTCATTGGATATTCCTCAAGTTATATAATTAGTCAGAATAGAAAAATAATTATTTTTCTTATATTTTTAAATGTAAGTGTCGTGGTTATTATATACATACAGTAACTTTTAAAGAGTTAACTATACTTTGTTTTCATTTATAAATGTCAAAAACTACGCTTACGTCATTGATAACTGCACCCTAGGTGTACTTTTGCCCAATTCGTAGTAGTATGCAATCAATGACGTAAGCAGTTTCAAATTTAACATTTTTAAATGAAAAGTGCAGAAGTCAGGGATCAATTTCTAATTGTATTTATATTATGAAAATGATCCTACTTCTATTTTTTTTTCCATTCTGACAAATGCTATGATTTTGAGGTCTCTGGAAAGCTAATCTACAAAACCGTTTTTAAAAAATTCTTGTGTATTTTTAAAATTAAATTTGTCTTTTACGAGCGGACCAGTCAATTTAAGTAGTGCTAGCTTATCAGCTTATGAAAACGAAACCTTATTCAGTGCGCTTCTATTTTGTCTCCGAGAAAATTATTGAAATAAATCGGAGATACTTACATGCCAACGCTACAATTCCGTGGAGCAAACTTTATTTTCATCTTTAGTAACAGCCCAACATGTAAATTGCAAATTGAAGATACCAAAATCAAACAAGTACAACAATTGAAATATCTGAGAACTGTTTTAACAGGACGGAAAGTGCTTCAGTAAAATCCGAAGGCACTTTGGAATAGGGAAGGATGCTAAGCAAAGTATTAAGAAATAGGAAAGTTTCGTTAAAAACAATGATAATGGTACTAAACCGTTGCTTAATATCTGTCCTCCTATATGGCACTGAATGCTGGACAGTCTCCTCATAGATGAAGAAGAGACTTGAAGTAACAGAATGTGGTTCTACCGGAGGATGCTGAGAATATCATGGACCAAACATGTAAACAATGATGAAAATGCACACAAAAGGGCTCTTATACTTAACATCATGAAGAGACAGTTGAAATTTCTAGGGTACATAATGAGGAAAGAGGGTGTGGAAAATTTGATACTCACATGACAGATTGCATGAAAGAACAGAAGAAAACAACACATAACCCGTGCCTAGCGAGCTTGAGTAAATAGATAGCGAAAAGGTTTTTTTGGAGAGATAACAAAAAGAAAAAATTAAGAACTATAAAGTACAGGAAATTGTGGAGAGCCAGATCGCCAACGTCCTGAACGGTCACGGTACATAGAATAATAATAAATAATAATAATGTTACAAGTCAACTCGAAAACTTTAAATACTTAGTTTGGTTTCGGGCGTATAATTAAATATCTCGAATGCCACCTAGCTCTAATGCCGAGGACTCTTTCCCCCCACCACCACCACCCTACAAGTTGTAACCTACCCCCCAAAAATCAAGATGATACATACTGGTTATTTACATTCGGACTAATATCATGTTGCTCGTACACTTGACCTCCTTCACCCGCCCGGTCGGTGGGGCATCAGAATACGCCGACTGCCCCCCTGCAGAGGGTAAAAGTCCCTCAATGGGGCCACCTGTTGGCCGTGGGTGGCGACCCGTAATGTCTGGGGACGGGATCCTGGTGGTTGAGCAGGTTGTAACCCAGGTGTAAAGCGGTCACAATCTTGTAACACACCACTTTGGCCCTTACCTGGGCTAGACGGACGGTCGGAGGGGCCCGATCCGATCAATCGGCTGGTCATGTCAAGCCCCATCATATATAATCCAACCCAAACCTATAACTGACACTCCTCTTCCCAACCAAAACTAACACTTAACCCTAAATATGTGATGGAAGGCGGTGGCTGAGGGTCAATCAATTTGGGGGAAAAAAGTATCTGACACACTTGCTAAACCTTCACAGCCGTAATACTTGGAAAACTGAAACAAAGGAACATGCGTGCTCAAAGACTCCTCCCAAAAAAGTATATCATTCACGTAGCCCCGACATGGCAAGGCGAATGGGTTTCCCCCTTGACCTGTCCCAATCTGGACTCCGTGGTGGGTAGGGAGCGAGAATGATGAACAAAAATAAAAACAGTCAATGGAAAAAAAGAAATCTTCCAAGAGACCACATGTAGATAACGACTCAGAAATAGAGAATGAAAGTGATACCTTTCCACGGTTTATTGTACTCGAAGCAATAAGCCAAAAATCATTATCAGAAATTTCTCCGTTTAAAATACAAAAAGCAATATCAAATATCATAATACCAAAAAAGGTTAAAAAAATTACAAAATGGAACAATACTAATAGAAGTAGAAAAAAAAATATATGCGGACACATTGATCAGACAAAAAAAACTACAAGAGATAGAAATAAAAACCTACCCACACCAAACCCTAAATTACTCAAAGGGAGTAGTAAAAAAAAGGAGCTCTCCTTGTGCACTCTAGAGGAAATAAAAATAGAACTCCAAACTCAAGGAGTTACAAATGTTAAAAGAATAACAATTAAAAAAAATGGAGCTGAGATACAAACTAATACCTACATTATAACGTTCAACTCCCCCCAAATTCCAACTTCAATAAAAATTGGATATGAAAGTATAAAAGTAGAACAATATGTACCAAACCCTCTACAATGCTATAAATGCCACAAATTTGGGCATCACAGAGATTCCTGTAGAAATAAAAAAAAATATGTGGGAAATGTAGTGAGAAGGAACCAGAACACAAAGAAGAGAACTGCCCAAATGAGAGCCTATGCTCAAACTGTTTGGGAAACCACTCTGCCCTCTCAAAACAATGCAATATATATAAACAGAAGAAAGAAATAATTAGAATAAAATACAAAAAAAATATATCTTACATAGAAGCACGAAAGGAAGTTATAAATAATATAAAAGAAAACACATATGCTTCCATGGTACAAAAAGCAAATAAAATAAACAATGAAGATAAAATAAAAGGTTCAATTGAAATAACAAATCTATGTAAGGAATTAAAAGCTTTCCTTGAAGAATTAAAAACCTTTTTAACCAAACTTAAATCGGATCAAAATAAAACTCAACAACCCAGATCAAATGGAATAAACCCAGAAGGAGGCAAAAAACTTTGGAAAGAAAACACAGAACAAAACTCCAGCGAACCCTCTTCTTTCCAAACCCAAACTAAGAAAATGAAAAATAAACAAAAAGAAAAAAAAAGTGACAACAGAGCAAGAAAGCACTCGAACAAGATCTAACTCAAAATCGAGAATCAGTATATCAAATGAAAATAAATTTGAGCCTATGGAATATATAGAAATAGAAGAGAAAGATAATATTCAAAACAAAATCAAAAATCTGATCGAAGGACACCACAAGCAGTTGAAGACAAAGCTTCTAAAAACTCAAGAGATGGAAAAAAAGAGGACAAATGATACCAACCTAGTAGGTAACTTTACTCCCAAAAAAATGAAAATATAATCATGGCACATAAGATCCTGCAATGGAACTGTCGTGGAATAAAATCAAATTACAATGACCTACTCATACTTATGTCACTACTGTATCCAGCCGTCATCTGCTTACAGGAAACTTTTTTTACAAGAAAATACCAACTTAAAAATTAAAAATTATAAACAATACCACTATAACCACAATACAGGACATAGAGCTAATGGAGGAGTGTCAATATTGATTAGAAATGACATACTGCAAAGTAAAGTACACATTAAAACTAAATTACAATCAATAGCAACACAAGTGACACTAGATAAAACCATCACAATTCTTTCCATTTATATACCCCCACAGGAACCAATAAACACAACAGAAATAAACAACTTGATGGAGCAACTTCCCAAACCCAGAATCTTACTAGGAGACTTTAACAGTCATAATCCTATATGGAATAGCAAAAAGCTAGATACTAAAGGTAAAATATTAGAAGAAATAATTAACACCCATAACTTATGTCTATTAAATCATAAATCCTCAACCTACCTTAATCCCTCCAATGGAACAGAATCATCAATAGACTTAAGTATAAGCGATCCAGAAATTTGTATGGATTATACATGGAAAACACATAGTGACACATGTGGCAGTGATCATTACCCGATCATACTAGAAAATCAAAAGCCTGCCAAGGAAGAAAAGATAGGCCCCGTCAGATGGAAACTGAAAAGAGCCAACTGGGAGGGTTTCAAAAACAAATGTAAACAAGTACTGATACAGTCAAAGGACACAGACAACTCGGTAGAATACTTTACCAAAACATTAATAACCATTGCCTCAGAAAATATACCAAAAAAAGCAAAATAATTATAAAAAAAACTAAACCCTGGTTTGACAAAAACTGCCAAAAAGCAGTCAGAAACCGGGAAGCAGCATTACGAAAATTCAAGAAGGAACCCACAACCCAAAATTTGATTGAAATGAAGAAACTCAAAGCAGTAGCACGGAAAAACTGTAAAAGAAGCCAAAAGGGAATGTTGGAAAAAATATGTAAACAGCCTAAATACACATTCTAAAACCAAGACAATATGGGAAATGATGAGGAAAATAGCTGGAAAAAATCAAATACACCCAATAATACATCTTAAAAAGGACAACACTAAAGCAACTAGCAAAAGAGAGATAGCAAACCTACTAGCAGAGACATTTGCAGAAAACTCTAAAATGAGCAAAAATCAAAACCTACAAAAGTGTAAACAAAAAGATATAAATAACCAACTAAATTTTTCATCTAAAAATACAGAAGCCTACAACAACCTATTCACTGAAGCGGAACTAATAGAAGCCATAAAAAAATCCCATAATACAGCAGTAGGCCCAGACCAAATCCACTATGAATTTATTAAACAACTACCACAAGAATCGCTGAAATACCTTTTGAATATTTTTAACAATATTTGGACTACTGGGAAATTTCCCAAAATATGGAGAGAATCTGTAATTATTCCCATACTCAAAGAAGGAAAAGAGGGAAACAACCCACAAAGTTACCGACCAATAGCATTAACAAGCTGTCTATGTAAGACAATGGAGCGAATGGTCAACGCCAGATTGAGTTGGTTTCTAGAAGAAGGAAAACACATATCAGAATATCAATGTGGATATAATAAAGGAAGAAGTACAATAGATCACATAATAAGACTAGAAACAGCCATAAGAGAGGCCAATTTAAACAAACAACATCTAATAGCCATATTTTTTTGATATAGAAAAAGCATTTGATCAAACCTGGAAACATGGTATAATGAAAGATCTGCATAAACTAGGATTAAGAGGTCGACTACCAAACTTCGTAAAAGGATTTTTAACAGATAGACTCTTCCAAGTACAAATAGATACTACACGTTCTGATTATCAAAAGCAAGAAGAGGGAGTACCACAGGAAGTGTACTCTCCCCACACTTTTCAAAATAAAAATAAATGACATAATAAAAAACATCAAATCAGGAATACACTGTAGCCTTTATGTTGATGATTTTACAATATATTACAGATCAAGAAACCTCAACACAGCAGAAAGACAACTTCAACAATGTTTACATCAAATAAACAAATGGACACTCGAAAACGGTTTTAAAATATCAAAAACGAAGACAAAATCTGTACACTTCTGCCAAATGAAAAAATTACACAATAACCCAACTCTAAAACTAGGAAAAGAAGAAATACCAGTAGTTCAGCAATATAAATTTCTAGGAATGATCTTTGACAGCAAACTGACCTTCAGACCACATATCAATTACGTAAGAACAAAATGTTTTAAAGCTCTCCAACTACTGCGAACAGTAGCCCATACAGAATGGGGAGCTAGCGAAGAAACCCTTCTTAAGCTTTATAGAACGTTGATCCACTCCAAACTGGACTATGGCAGCATGGTCTACCAATCATCTAGAAAAGTCTTATCTAAAAACAATAAACACAATACATCATGAAGGCCTTCGGATAGCTCTAGGAGCCTATCCCACCTCACCTATAGAGAGTCTACATGTAGAGGCAAACGAACCCCCATTACAACTAAGAATGGAGAAACTAGCTACTCAATACTATCTAAAACTCTTCCTGTCCTTCTAACCCCACACACGATTGTGTACTTACACCAAATCACAAAGAGAAATTTAATCTTAACACAAATAAAATCAAAACATTGGGACTCCGGATGGAAGGAATCATCCAAGAAAATAATTTACCGTCTAATCAAATACTTAAAACCAACCAATCAAACATACCACCATGGATAATCAAAAATCCAAACATAATATTAAGTTTAAACAAATTATCAAAATCAAAAACACACCCCACAACATACATTGAAAAATTCTCAAAAATAAAAGAAAAATATCAAAACTATGAAAGTATTTACACAGATGGATCAAAAGACGAAGAAAAAAACAGGCAGCGCAGCAATAACAAAAACAATTATCAAAAACGCTTGCCAAATGAAGCATCAATTTTCAGTGCAGAAGCCTACGCAATAAAACTAGCACTAAATTTCATATCAAAAAAACAAGGAGAAAACTATATTATTTTCTCAGATTCATTATCGGTATTAACCTCCCTAAAAGGGAAAAAGACTGGAAAATCCATTAATACAAAGTCTTCTATATAAACTACATTCAATGGAAAAAAGCAAAAATATCATCTTCTGCTGGATTCCTAGCCATGTTGGCATCCAAGGAGGAGATAAGGCAGATAATGCTGCTAAATCATCTTTAAAAATGACAATTGACGAAAATCTTCAAATTCCATATACAGACTTAAAATCTAAAATATATAAATACATAAGAAACAAATGGCAAAATCTATGGAAAAACCAAACCGGAAATAAATTATTTCAAATTAAACCTAAAATGGGGAAATGATGTTGGAAATACTCGGAAAAAACAAGTTGTCATAACCAGAACACATATAGGACACACATATTTAACTCATTCTCACATATTAAAAAAGACAAATCCACCAAAATGTAAATGTGGAAGCCTAATCACAATAAGACATATTCTATCGGAATGCAAAATCATAACTAGAATAAGACAGAAATATCTCAATGGAAAAGATTTAAAAGAAATATTCAAAAATACAGACACAGAAAAAATATACAGTTTTCTCAAGGAAATAAAAATCAAGGAAATAAAATCCTTTATAAAATATATATATATAGTATATATATATATATATATATATATATATATATATATATATAGACATATATATGCATCTATGAATGTAAACATTAAAATACACAATCAGAAACGGTCACAAAAAGCAATCCCAAAAAATACAGAAAATTATGAAACCCAACAACCTTTCATCTTTTTATACAAAATAACCAACAAATTCATAAATTAATAAGGCTTCGGTCAAATTGACCCAAATAGGAGTTGATGCCGTTAAATCCAACATCCATCCTCCTTCACCGCCATTTCTCTTTTCTTCCTCCTGCCGCTGGAGCATTGTTGTCGTCTCTTTCTTTCTTTATTAATACTCCCAGTTTTTACATGATATTCATTACTATGATCACAGATTCGCCTAGTTTCTTCTATTATTTTACTTAATTCTAAAGGGGTTAGAGATCACCCTTTCCCCCTCCATATATGATCAGCCCTGCTTGATTTGTTTCACAGCCGGCCTTCTAGTTTCAACTTTGTACTCTTTGCAAGTAATGGAATATATGCAGTTCTCAGTCATGATCTCTGTTTTAGGCCCGAGTCGGCAAAGATTTCTTCGTATGATCGAGCTACTTCTAAAAGTTGATGTTTTTTTTTCCCCGATAATCCCTTAACAAAAGAAATACACTATTTTCATTTTAATTAACCCTTAATGAAATTACTTTTTCAGGTACTCTTCATCTATCGAATGGTAAGATACAACCCCCCAAATTATCCAGACTTACCCCTGGTAGGAAGTAAAAAAATGCCATATCCAGAATTTGCACAAGTAATTGGCTGGCTGTTGACGATAATTGGACTCATGCCAATACCAATTTATTTCTTATATAAATTATTTACTGCCAAATCGTCTGAATTCGCTGATGTACGTAATATATCTTTCTTTTTTTTTTTTATTATTTTAAATTTAATTAGAAACTTAAAATATTCTTTGAATACTTTATAGAATTCCATAATCTGACTTATTTTCTTCCTATTTTGGATTTTTTTAGCAAAGTGTTGTTTTTTTTGTTTTTGTTTTTTTGTTTTTTTTTGTTTTTTTTTGTTTTTTTAAGCCAGATCTTCATTCAATGCAATTGCGTCAAATTTTCCATTACAAAAAATTTTGTCTAATCAACAATTTTGGAAACTTTACAAATGGTTATTTTTCATATGTTTGTTAATGAACCATTAATGGGTTGACCAGTGATATTTTTAGTATCATAGTCAGCAATCCTCGTTTTTCTTTGGATATAAAAATCAAATAAAGTGCTTCTTATTTCAAATCATTAGCACACTTTCTACAATATGAGAAGAGGTTGGCTTTATTTATTAAATAAAACAAATGTGGCACAACGTCAAAAAATGAGGAAAGTTAAATGTAGGTATTCATTATCAGAACTTACACACACACACACACACACATATATATATATATATATATATATATATATATATATATACACACACACTTTTTTTCATTTCCTTGTGTCTGAAGAAATTGAACTCCATTTATTAATGAAAAACGGGTCTGAAGAGATGGATGTGAGGTTCACGAAATAAATTTATAACCTGACCTGATGGATTTTTAAGGATTCTCTATTCATCATTTTATATATATATATCCAATGTATGTATATTGGAATGTAGGCTCCAGAGGCCCGTGTTTTATTTTTTATTAAAATGAAAATTTGAAATTCCGAAGGCTGAGAGGACTCCTTGCCCGATGTGTTTAATTTATTCATAGGCTCCTTTGTTTTGCTGTTAATCACTTCAGCCTACTTTACACTAATAACGACCTTCCTTTAATGCGGCAATTTTCCGTTCGTTAATATCCATGAACTCTATTATTACTATGACGTCTTGCCAAAGACCATGTATCATTTTTTCCGTTTCTTTATCCACACAGATTGCCGACAAATGTTAGAGAACCCATTTTGGTATTAGTTTGTTAACTGAGCCCTTATTAATAATAAAACATTAATGTTTAATCCGCTAAATTTTGGCATTTTTATAATTTGGTCAGGAAAGAACAATGATTAGAAAAGAATGTTTATGTCTTCCATTTATTTTCAAAATCAACTTTCGATTTAAGCATTTGAATTTTGCTAATATTTGCTTCGGTTTATTATTTTTTAATTATGGTTTTTAGTTTTATAACTATTTCTTTTGCTTTGAGTTTTATTTTATTTTCCTTTCTTCTCTAAAGAAAATGGCAGAAATCACCAGACCGACAACTGAATGGTGCGCGAGGAGAAAGTCCAACAAAACTGGTGTGGACAATCTGGCGATGGATACAAAACGGTTTTGATGTGGACATTTGTTAAGCAGTGTAATATTTTCATAAAGATTCCAGATTTTCCACTGAAAAATCCCGGCAAATGTACTAATCAATGTCTCTTTTCATTTTTGTACTCCTAAAAAAAAGTGAGGGTGCTATATTTTACATATTTTATTAACTATAATTTGTATATACTTATTAATTGCCCTACGTCTTACAAAAGTTTTCATTTCGAGATCTTCCAGTGCGATAAACTTCTAACACCGGATTTTCATTGTTCTATTTACTCACTTCATAGAAATTGTAGATTTAATTATTTTCAAACAAAGTTGAATTGCCAAAAAATGATATTGTAATCATAACCGAAAAGAATATATAATGTGAGTTAGGTTTCAATTTAAAATTTGTTTAAATTTTCTGAACTTAATTTTCAGTTTCTGTTTCGCTATTGGTTAAATCATGTCCATATTAAAAATATGTTTAAAAAAATAGTTAATTTTAATCCATTTCAGGTTTGATAATCAATTCTTACGTTTTTACTGTCTTGTCTTTGGCCAAAGCAAACTCATTCGTGGCTGTGTACTTCATATTTGCTGATTTTCATCCATTGTATGATTAAATACAGCGAAATGTTGCCGGGGGGGGGCATTCTAATGTTTGCACTGGTTGTCATTCAGCTACGGCGTTTGTGTGGCATTATGTGAAAAACAATTTCGCTATATAATTTAAATTTGCGTCAGTGAACAATTACAAAATATCAAATATGTAAAATTTTAAATTTTAAAATCTCAGCCGAGATATTTAAACCATTTGATTTTTCACAGTTACTAACTTCTTTGCATGTTACACTAGAAATGCTTTATTTTCTGTCAATGTAATTAAGAAATATCCAGAAAAACTATCCATATTTAGTAATTTGTTCAACATGATTGGTTTACAACAATTAAAATAAGACTAATTTCCAGAGACTTAAAAATATTTTAAATATTTTTATATGATGTAAATTTGAATAAATATTTTAATACTAGTAAAATGTTTTTTTTATTTACTTAATTTTGCAGCCCCTTGTCTATGAAAAAAGGTCTACAGTATGTATATATACCAGTATTACGATAGTCGTTCTGGGATTCCTTTAATACTGGAATTCTATAAAACAATATAGGCCATGTCCCTATTGTAGATGGCTCATGCTGATAATGGAAAGAGTATATTGATGATAATGGGCACGACCCAAAATTAGGCGCGAAATAAGATTTCGAGCGCCAATTTGAGACGCCGGAAACATCTTGAATGAAAGAGACTTGTCTCGAACCCACTAAACAACAGGCATGCTGGGTACAAGCTAACCTGAATAATGCAAGGTTAATGCATCTAATGCAAACAGAATATGAACACCATTCACATAAGTGTATCATCTATTTCAAACAGATATGTATTTGGATTTCGTCTCCGATTCTTTGAATTTTAACTGCTAAAAAAATACTTTTTTTTAGCAATCCTCTATTCTCTTTCTCGTTATGTATTGTTTCTGGTATAAAGTACGTTTTTGTTTTTTTGTTTTGTTTTTTTTTTTTTTTTTTTTTAACAATGTTCATTTGCCACACTTTGTTCATCAAGCCACGACTCTGATTGGGGTCGTTAAATTTCCCACAATTCATTTAATTCATTAAATTTATTTTTTTCATAATTTTTTTTATTATGCATTTATTATCAATTTTATTTTTAATAATAATAATAAACGTTTTGCAGGTAAAATGAAGTGTGTGAATGATGGGAGCGTGAACAGTTTGAACATTTGAGACATTGATATGTTTATTATTATTATTACTGTACACCTTCTTTTGTTTATTGAACGAATGTCTTATTTTCTGCGTGGAAATGGTGTTGAATCTCCATTGAAAAAATAAAGAAATCGAAATGTCAAAGGTAAAAATAAAAAGTGAAATGTTTCACTTTGCTTTTGGAATCGGACATTTTTCAAGTAATATCGAGATCCTAGTCAGCATATTTTACGGTGTCTCTGTTCATAAATCTCTGCATCATTCCAAGTAAAAACGAACAAAAACAATATGAATAAAATGACGTGTATTAAAAGCAACGAGGTATTTTCTTTTGATATTAAAATTCAACTTCAAATTTGATTTTTGAGTAAACGTCAGTTTGGGAGACTTGTCTGATAAAGACATAGATGTTCATTTTTATTAAAGAAATATTAGACAATTATTTCTCCAGATACCGTATAATGCCATCAACTCGGAAAGAGTTAATATATGTGTGTGTAATCTATAAAGTCTTTCACACTACAAATTCTGAGTAGATAGCAGCTTCTACTTCGATTCTTTTTCCAGCTTCCATCGCCAATATCCTGATATTCATCAATATCCACCTTGGTAGACCCACTGCAATATATAGTCTTGGGGGTCACGAAATTAGCTCACATTATGGCTTTGTTCAGACCTCTGGGGTTTAGCCTAACTGATCTATTGACCCATGGCTGAAATCAAGCTCCACCTTCAACTTGTCTTGTTAGAGACTCGACGCTGTGGATACACGACTGGGTGTACTTCCCTGGGAGACAGTCGATCTTATTAAAACTCATCGGAAAATTTGTAGAGAAAAAAGCTCCTGCACTTTGTTGTTGGGGGTGGGGTCTCATTATTTTTATGATCAGAGCGGATTTCGTATCATGACTAGTTTCAGACGGACATTTCTGTGCTTCGTCGCAGAATTTCACCCAAGATACTTTCTACATTAAGAAGTCTCTCGGTCTATTTTTTTCATGGTTTGTCGCCTGAATAGAATTGGGCCCTTAGTTCTGAAAACAGAAGACTGTAGTGATAAATGCGTTGTGCTATCTCACTACTCGAAGCTTCCAAATGTAAATAGCCTGATAGGCGTTTTCTTAAACGGCACACATTTTTTTGCTCGAATAACGTCAGAGAAAATAGGTTTCTTATAACTCCAATGGCAATGTTTGCAGTGATTTCAATCACAGTTACTTTGTTGTCTATTTTCAGTTTTAAGTTTGTCAGTACACTGCATTCCCTTCGAATCGCTGCAGCTATTGTGTGAAAGTAAATACTAATGGGGCGATTGGAAAGAAAGAGGATATATGTTGATCATGAGCACTCTCCAATGTCCACTATAGACATTAGTATACCCTTAATATACTAACACCTTAAAAAGACAAAAGAAAGAACAGAATAATCCGAAGAAATAAATTTCCAAAATGATTTTATACAGTAAAACTTTTTCAGTTTTCTATATGAGTCACAAATTGTGTTATGGTCCAGAATGATGATGATGATGATGATATTTCATCATTCTAAAAATAACATTGTCATCATCCTCGCCTCATAATTATAAAAATGAAACTTCCACCACAAGAGAATCAGTAGAGTAGACTAGGGTACGAGTAATCAGAAGATGAGTAAACAAGTAACAGTACAGAAACACACGTCTGCCAGCGCTCCGGGAAGATCGAAAACAGACGATTTTAAACGCATCCTCACAAACGAAATTCTCAGAAAGAAACCAAGCAATGACTTTTAAACAAGAGAGAAACTGAACATTTTTTACATACACCATACTAATATTCTGTAATTCACATCACAAAAAGAAAATACAAATTCTTGTTATTTATGTCAACATGCGTCTCTTATCATTGTACTTTTATGCATTTTAATTTCTGCCATTAATATATCAACCAACAAATAATAACAACGGAGAAAATACATTAACACCCAACATTACCAACCATCCAACCCCGTTACAAATGCAATACACGCATATAATTGCCCCGCACAGAGAAATTAAAACATGCATAAAAAGAATTAGGCAGGTGGGGGTCCTATACCGCCCTGGTGATATGTCATAGGTTTCTATTTCGCTTGCATGGAAATTTTCATCTGTTGTGGTCAGACGAATCGGAACTTGTTACAACATCTGCCTCAATATGCTGTCACGTGATCCTCAGTAAAACCTTAAGACGTCAAATTCTTCCTGTCAAAAGAGAGATAATCGCCTTGTATATCCATACAATATCTTTGCTTGTGAAATCATCTAAACTGCCATTTTGGAGTAGCAGTGGCTATGTTTCTCTTCTCAGTTATTGCCAGCTTCACTTTGTAACATACACGAGGTGCAAAATAACCTTTTTGTTTGTTTTTGCATTCTAACCGGACATTCCGCGCTATAATGGCCTTTTTATCACTGAATCTGAACTGGCCTTAGTCATTGGTATATAGATCGTCTCTGCGTATCTCATAGTTGTTTCCCCCTATCTTTGTGTAAAGGCATCTGTGATAGATCCCCTCCCTTCTTTTGGGTCGACTTCAACTGTATCCCGAATATAAATAAATAGACTAAGATTTTTCTTCTACTGTACGGTCATATTTGCATTGTTTCATTATCTAATGTAGTTTTTTGAGAAAGGTAGGAGCAAATTCATTCTTGCAAACGCTGATGTCTGAACACTCGGAAATTCGACTTTGGCTTAACATCAGCTTTAAAACATTTAATATCGTGCTCTGTCTTTTGCTTCCTCCTCTTTTTTTTTTTTTTTTTTTTTTTTAATGAATGTCACATATCTTGACTGTTAGATAGTACTATTAAATGTCCTAAGCGACCCCTTTTCCTTTTACGTTGTTGTAAGCGACAACGAAGTCTGTGAATAAACATGCCTTAAAACCGACTACACGTGTCCGAGTTACTGCAACCTATCCACGCTTTTAATCAAGGTATGTAACACCTTTTATTGTATAACATTGACTTGCTTTCACTGGCCCAAATGACAACATTTGCATCTCGAATTGGGATATCAAAATAGTTTAGAACAATGCTTCTCAACCTTTTTCAGCGCATGGATCATTGTTTTCTTTAAAAAAATGAAATGAACCATTCCTAGTTTTACTTTTAGGCTGTTTAATTTTCCCAATAAAATACTCAATGAAAAGACAAAGTAGTCTATTTACACTTTAAAATTTATTTTAGAAAACATGGTTAAATACAGGATATCAAAATCAGTTTCG